CATTACTGTGAAAAACACGTAGGGGATGGAAAAAGGATCACAAAGCATAGCTTAGAAAAACATTCACTATGCTTCAATAAATCATTCATGACTGCAACAAAAAAGCTAAACAGTCCTTCTCATGCCTTAATTACCCTATCATTTTCCACTCCCATGATTTAGCCATGCAAAATATGAGGTGAAAATCAGAATCCATTTAAACTACCTTTCTAAGGACCTTTAAAAGTGAAAATAAATGTTTTATATGCATTCATTGGCTTGTAACAGTGTATGTATTTCAATATCTAAGCAACTGTTCTTTTTCTTCAAAACAATACGTGAATCGCTTGATAAATTTGCATTCAAAACTTTTATTCAAATTTATATATAGCATATTGCTTTTACAGCCAATTATTACACATGGCAATTGCAAATATGGTACATAATGCATGTTTTTGTCACTAGAATTTTCACAAACATAATATGGTTGTGTTTATTTTGTTATATTCTCACAGAAATAGTGTATTTGCGCAAACTAGGCATGCTTAGGTTTGTTTAAAATATCATCTGTTCTTTGGATTTACCTCTCAAAGCTCTGAATACATAAAGTTCCATGGTGATGAAAACCCATGGATATACAAGTACAGAGGGAGGCAACCTTTGGCACTCCAGATGTTGTGGACAACTCCTCCCCTGATGCTTTGCCAGCATAATGGCTATAAGAACATGTAGCGGATGGCCCTGGGCTGTCCTGAGCAATTCATGTATTTCTATGCATTCGTATGAAAATAGCAAAGTTCTATGTATTTGATGTATTGTATTCGTCTGAATGTTAGGTAGTTTCATTCCCTTAGTTTGTTCGAATGAAACTACTGAACAGTCAGACCTCCCCTATGCGAAGTGTGTCCTCAATTACCCGTTGCAACATTGTTGCGAACGGGTAATTGACAAGTGAAGTAGCCGTCCTTTGTTCTCGGGGGTGGCCGCCATTCGACAAACGAACACGTGGCGGCGGCGATTTTAAAACTCCCGAACAGCGGTGTTTTGCCGTCGAGTGTCTGGAACTCAAATCGGACACTCAACTAGGCGAACACCGCTGAAACCTCCACAAGCCCGGTCCATTCGGTTCCTAACTACCGAATGGCCCCTCGTTCGGTAGATAGAAAGAACCGAACGAGGGGATTCAGGTGAACCCTCCCTAGCCTTTATAGCTAGAGGTTTTCGTTCAGTTTGTTCCCTTACTCCAGGACCGACCGCAGGGCCCATTCACATGGAACCGCATTCGGCTGTTTCACTCAGTGCGGTCGGTCATTTTATTCCCTCCATAAATTTCCCGAACCCCTGGTCTGATCTGGGTGATTTTTTGATATGTTGTTCACCCAGATCAGGGCTATCAGGGGGTGTAGGATTTAAAGGGGTACCCCTACGTTTAGGGGTACATCCAGAAATGTGGGGAATTACTGTACTGGATAAGGGGATTATGATGCCGGCTGAGGGGAGGAGATGTGTGGGAGGTTACCAGGACAGGATTGGCTACTGTATTAATGAATGTAATCCCTCCCTTGCATGGGAGCATGCTTTAAAAGGCCAGTGTGGATTAAAGATTTCAGTTCTGCTCCTGAAACTGTGTGTCATCCAGTTATTGGGATTGCTGTTGGGATATTGCTGTGTTATTTTGCCTGCTGGAGACCTTGCCTGTGGATTTACAATTTACTTGTTCCTGAGCCTCACTTGGATTATAAGCGGAGATACCTGGGGAATATTGCATCTCCGCTACAGAACATCATTGGAGATGTAATCCACAACATCTGGAGTGCCAAAGGGTGCCTACCTCTGTACACCAGCTTGCTGGTTGTAGTAAAATAAATTAGACGATAGCAGTGCTCACTTGTAGCTATTTCTAATTTATCATCATTGCTATGGACAAACTTGGAAAATAACTGTGATGACAAAAAGTGGCATAGATACATTATTCAATAGCTTTATTGCAAAACAACATGTCTACGTTTTTATATATATATTCTTTACTTTTGCTATGCAAAAGAAAGTACAAACATGTCTGCAATGTCACTATAACAATAGCAGACAATTCAAAGCTGACATTATCATGACATAAGTTTGAACTGCACATTTTTTTAATTAATAAACAGGGTAATGCAAGTTATGTCAAAAGATTAGTAGGTAATAATAAAGGTTGTGTAATTTGAAGTTTTGTAGTAGTGGAGTAACACGTGTGAGATATAGTCAGAGCAATTTATTTTGAGAAAAACATAATTAAACATGCTAGGTATGTAGTAAAATAAAAGGTATGCTGTTATATCAGGGGAAAACAAGGAGTAACCAAAATAAAATGCAGGCGGAACAACATGCCTACTTAGCCCATTTAGAGATCTGCTAATTTTTGCACAGCTACGCTATTGGAATTTTGTTTTACAACTCACCTATCAGTGGTCATGTAAGAGCAGGCCTCAAGTCCTGCAGGAACGCATGGGAACTGTGTTCCTGCATTTTTTGCACAGCAGGAACACCGTTCCCGTTAGTAGTCCTGCAGGCAGGGCCAAAGCGTCCATAAGGCGGCCTCCTTAAGGCACACCAGCCTGGGGGGCGCTAGACCAGAGTGTCTGGCAGGAGGTGGGCGCACAGTGCTCCCTCCTGCCAGTCACTCTGTTTAGCGTGGCCAAGTGGAGCAGTGCGCACCACGGTCCAGAAACTTCAGTTTCCTGTACACGGCCGAACTAAAAGGAAGTGTTTACTGAGAGCACATCCTGTCAGTCTGGCCAGGTACAGGAAACTCAATCTCCTGTACTGCGGTCTGCTCCTCTCAGCCATGCTACAAAGAGAGGTGGGGACCATGGGGGGGGGGGAGCAGGGAGGGGAAGAGAAGCCTGAGAAACAGGGGGGGCGTGGTAAGGAAGAACACTATGGGACGAGGGGGAGGTGGGTGGTAAGGAGAACACTATGGCATGGGGAGGGGGTAGTAAGGAGAACACTATGGGATGGGGGTGGCAGAACACTATGGGACGGGGGTGGAAGAACGCTATGAGACGGGGGTGGTAAGGAAGAACACTATGGGACAGGGGGAGGGGGTGGTAAGGAGAACTCTATAGGATGGGGAAGTGGAAGAACACTATCGGATGGGGAAGTGGAAGAACACTATGGGAAAGGGGAGGAGGGGAAAGAACTCTATGGGACAGGGGAGGGGGTGAAAGAACACTCTACGACAGGGGAGAGGGGAAGGAACACAATAGGGTCGGGGGAAAGAACACTATGGGACAGGGGAGGGGGTGGAAGAACACTATGGGATGGGGAGGGGTGGAAGAACACTATAGGATGGGAAGGGGTGGAAGAACACTATGGGACATGGAAAGGGGGAAAGAACACTATGGAACAGGGGAAAGAACACTATGGGACGGGGGAGAACACTATGGGACAGGGGAAGGGAAGAACACTATGGGACAGGGGATGGGGGAAAGAACACTATGGGGTAGGGGAGAGGAGTAAGAACACTGTGGGACGGGGGGGGAAGAACACTATGAGACAGGGGAGGGGGAGGAAGAACACTATGAGACAGGAGTGGGAAAGAACACGATGGGATGGGGGAGAACACTATGGGACAGGGGAGGGAGGGAAAGAACACTATGGGACTTCGGAGGGGGTGAAATGGGAAAGAACTCTATGGGACAGGGGAGAGGGGGAAGAACAATAAAAAAGAGGGTGGTGGAGGAACAGTTAGGGGGGCACTAAGGTACAGGGGAGAGAAGGTAAAAGGAAAACTGGGGTAGGGGGGACCACTAAAAGAAAAGGGAGAGGAACATTAAGAGGAATGGGGGCACTAAGAGACAGGTAAGGGGGGGAAGAGGAACACTAATTGACATGGAGAGAAGGGCAGGGGAGGGGAGAGGAACACTAATGGACATGAAGGGGAGGGGAGAGGAACACTAAGGGACATGAAGGGGAGAGTGGCACACAGAGGGGCCTGAGTGGGGAGAACAATACACATAGGGACACGAGGAGAGAGGAAGACACACAGATGGGGGCGAGAAAGTTCACAGAGGGGCTGGGGATAAAAGCTACACGCAAAAGGGCCTGGGGTGGAAATACAAAGGGGCTAGTGGTGAAAGAGACACAGAGGGACTGAGGGGAGATAGATGGGCTGGTGGTAAAAGAGAAACACAAAGAGAAAAACACAAAAGATCTGGTAAGAGTAAAAGACACAAAGGGGCTGGGAGAGAAGGAGACACACAAAGGGGCTGGGAGAGAAGGAGACACACAAAGGGGCTGAGGGGAGTAAGACACAAAGGGGAGTTGTAAGAGATACACAAGGGGGATATAAGACACGCAATGGGGAAACATAGGGCATAAGATACACTAAAGGGGGTAAGACATTTTTTAAAAAAAGGGATAAGAAATAAAAGGCAGGTTATGAGGTACACAGATGAAGATGCTTTTGGGTGGGGGGGTGGATCTTGGGTGAGTTCCCACAATTTTTTCCACAGGACTTGACCCCTGTGTAAGAGAATAATATTGAAACAAAATTGATACGTTCCTTTGTTACCTATGTACATATAATAAATGCAGAAGAAATCAGTAAGTTTAGCTTCCCGATTGTAACTGTACTATCTTTACTCAGTGTTAGACTTCACTTCCATGAGGATTTTGGACAACTGCAAATGACGAGCAACCCTAGACAGTGAATTCATATAAAAGGTTCTCTATTAACTATGATCTGCGACAGCCAGGCTTTTAAAAAACTTCAATGTAAAATGTAACTGGTATAATTGTTAAGAATATTAAAAACGTTCCCTTTTGTCGCAAGCAACACTGGGAAAAGCGAACTGCAGTGGCTTTGGAGCAGGCAATGTTTAACTGTCCATTTATTAAACTTTGATTCCAATTTTATATCTTCCTGATGAATGTATCTATTTAACAAGGTAAACTGTTGGCTCATTTTCTAAGTTAAATGTTTAGTCACTGCAGTGTGGGTTTCCTAAATTTGTACAGCAGTGTCTTAATAATTGAACTAAATAATATTACACAGCAGGATAGCCATTCACTCTTAAAGACACCAGTGCACTTTAGGATAGGAATTTACCATTCATGTATTTTTAATGCTTGTACCTATTTGAAACCACAAATACAGAGACAGAATGGCAAACAACATCTGATAAGAGTTACAAGAGTATCGTGATGGATACTTAGGATTTGTTTAGCTATTTATAACCACGGACAATAGTGCTCAACATAAAAAGGATATTATAGCTTTTGCTCTGGAATGAGTGGATACCTAAATTGACATTCCTCTGCCCAGAGAAACTTTTAAAACATTATATTTAAGAGACATACCTCAAAGAAAACATGCATTTAATTATGCATTTTCTTCATTGAGGTATATCAGCTTGCAAATACAGCACATCTCTTGTCTGCAGCCTTTGCAAGCCCTTCCCTTTTCCCCAGCCCAAACCTTCTATAGCTATCCAATCACAAATTTCCCAATGCAGCTCAATGAGAAGTTTTGTCAAAGTGGGTGCCCTGAGCAATTGACTGCCTCTTAAGCTTAAACAGCTAAACATTCGGGAAGTAACAGAACTGGAGTGACAACCAAAGGGTGTAACAAGGTTAATTTACAAAAGTGCAATTTTTTGCAGTTTGCAAATCACTTTTTGCAAAATGAAAAGAAGATTACAGGTTCTTCACAAATAGAGCACTTCAGCAAGCTGAAGTGTTTTATTGGTCTGGAGTGTCCCTTTACATTTTGTAATGATATTCTGCAGAAATGCCAGTTTTGATGGAAAATAATGATATGTTGGGATTATAATGAGCTAATGGGTCATGTATTATTTATGCTCCTGATATTGCACAAAAAGTACTGGTAAAGTATTATGCGTTTACAATATAAGAAATGGAAACTCCCTATAGTACCTAGTAATGAGGGACCTCCTTAAAGTGACACACTTGGCATCATAG